AAAAAAAAAAAAAAAAAAAAAAAAAAAAAAAAAAAAAAAAAAAAAAAAGAATAGTTCTCTGACATCCCTCTCACTGGTAACTTTATTTAAACTTTATTTTCCTTACTTTGCAGGTGCATAAGGCAAATCCAATACGCAAGTACCAGGGTCTGGAGATAAAGTCAAGTGACCAGCCTCTGACTGTGCCTGTATCTCCCAAATTCTCCACTCGATTCCACTGCTGAACTCAGCTGTGAGCTGCGGACACCGCCTGACAATGGGACCTGCTCTTAATATCAAACCTGAGACCATCTTGCTTTGTTACTGGGCATGGAGAGAACCCATTTCTCCAGACTTTTAGCTACCCATGCCTGAGAAAGCATACTTGACAACTGTGGACTCCAGTTTTGTTGAGAATTGTTTTCTTTTTCATTACTAAGGCTAATGAGACATAACGCATGTATGTCTCGATTAGACTCCATGTAGTTACTTCCTGTAAACTATCAGCTGGCCCTTTATATGGGTCTTCACTCTGATTAGAATTTAGTCTCTGTGTCAGCACAGTGTAATCTCTATTGCTATTGTCCCTTACCATTCTCTCCCTCCCCCCACTTTTTTTTTTTTTTTTAATTTTAACCAGAAAATAAAGATAGTTAAATCCTAAGATAGGGATTAAGTCATGGTTTAGATGAGGAACAATCAATACATCAGATTCTGTCCTCTTCCCTGCATACAGTGAATTTATAGTTAAGGATCCCTTTGCTGTGAGGGTAGAAAACCTCACCAGCTGCACTAGTGAGGAAGAAGACTGCATGGACTCATGGGGAGCCTCACAGCAGCCATGCAACAGGCTCTGGGTGGGGCTGCCGTTAAGGCATGTTCTCTCCTTATTGGTGCTGATAAGAACAGGGAACCAGTACAGTGTGCATTTTAAGACCTAGCCTGGAATAAATGTTTTGTCTTCCCTCCCTGATTGTGTTATTTGATGTTTTTAAATCTGTTGAGCCCCTTTGGAGGTCACATCTTATTTGGGAAATGGGTAGTTTGAGAGGTGGGTCCAGGAACTTTTTTTAAAAGCACAGGCTATGTCCTTAAAGGAAAATACTTTGTAGTTTTTTTCTGTCTTATGTCAGAATATCTCCATATTCTGTTAACTCTCTCTCAGTAACCACTTAATCATGTATGTTATGCCTTCACACAGACTGTACCTTCTTCCCTAAAGACTCAGCTCAAGTTAAATTTTTTTTTTTTTTTTTT